CAAGTCTCATAGGATTAAAATTATGTAGGATAAGTTCTCTGAATTCATTAGAATTATATTAGAAATCAAGAAAGCAAGAACCTCAAGTGTTTGGCAGGAAACCCAAATATTTAGGAGAAGAACAATGCTTAACCCATGGATCAAAGAAGTTATCACAGCCGGGCTCAGTGGCTCAGCCTGTAATCCTGTGCCTTTGGGAGGCTGAGGTGAGTGAATTGCCTGAGCCCGCGGGTTCAAGACCTGCCTGGGCAACTTGGCGAGACCTCATCTCTACAATAAATCAAAAATCATCCGGGCGTGGTAGCGCGTGCCTGTAGTTCCAGCTTCTTGGAAGGCTGAGGCGGAAGGATCGCCAGAGCCCAACCGGTGAGGCTGCAGTGGCCGGGAGCAGCCACTGCACTCCTCCAGTCTGGACAACAGAATGAGACTCCAACTCAAAAACAAAAAAAGAAGTTATCACAAGGGATAGTAGAAAATATTTTGAACTGAAAAAACACTACTTATTAAAATTTGTAGGGTTCAGTGAGAGCAGTTCTTAGAAGAAAATTTATAGCTTTAAACATTTACATTAGAAAAGAAAAAATGCCTAAAGTGAATAATTTAAGTTTCCAGCTGTAGTTAGTATAAAAAGTGCAAGTCAATCCCAAGTAGATAGAAGAAAGGAAATGTTAAAGATGAGAGCCAAAGTCAGTGACAGGATCAAACAGAAAAATTATTGAAACCAATAGTTGTTTCTTTGAATTGGTCATTAAAATTAACCATAATACCTTTAGGTAGACAAAAAAGAGAAAAATTGCTGATCAAGAATGATTCTACAGACATTAAAAGAATATTGTTATGGACTGAATGTTTGTGTCCTCCCCAGAATGTTGAATCCCTGTCCCCCTCAGTGTAGTGGGATCTTTGGGAAATAATGTTTGGATAATATCATGAGGGTGGAGTCCTCATGACAATACTCTATGCCCTTTTAAGAAGAGATACCAGAGAGCTTGCTTGCATGCTGTCTTTCTTTGCTGTGTGAGATCATAGTGAAAAGGCAGCCAGTGAACAGGCAGCCATCTATAAGCCAGGGAGAAAGCCCTCACCAGAAACTCATCACACTGCCACCTTGTTCTTGGACTTTTAGCCTCCACAATTGTGAGAGAAAAAAGTTGTTTAAGCCACCCCGTCTGTGGTATTTTGTATGGTAGCCTGAGCAGACTAAGCAGATTAAATGAATATTATAAGCAATTTTATGCTAATAAAAAAATAAAAATAAATAAATTTGACAGTTTAGATGGAGTATACAGATTCCTTGAAGGATGTAAGTTACCACTGATGCAAAAGGAATAGAAAACACAAATAATCCAATATCTGCTTGGTTATTGGTTATTAAAAACTCCAGACCCAGATGACTTTATTGATGAATTCTATCAGACACGTAAGGAAGAATTACAGTAATACCAATTCTACAGATTTTTTCAGACTATAGAGGAGATAAGTACACTTTCTAGTTCATTTTAGAGGCCAGTATTATGCTATTTCAGGAAAAGAAAGCTACAAATTAATATCCCTTATGATTATGAACACAAAAATATTTAGCAAGATATTAAATTCATGGACTTTTCCTTTGGCAGCAGCATGAGAGCAGAGTAGAAGTTGCGGTGACAGGAGTCATGACAGAACAAGCATCTAGGGAGTTTCTTATGCTCTTTGACTGAACTATTGACTGAAAGGAGTGTAGCCAAAACTGTAACCAGAGGAGGCATTATGCTTCCAGAAAAATCTCAAGGAAAAGCATCACAGGCAATAGTAATAAAGAGTGGAGAGGCACCAAAGTAGGTCTAGATGACAAGAATTGTTACACACACACACACACACACACACCCACACACACACACACACCACACACACACACACACACACACACACACACACACACACACACACACACACACACACACACACACACACACACTGTTTTACTCTTTTGCCCAGGCTGGTCTCAAACACCTGGCCTCAAGCAATCCTCTCACCTTAGTCTCCTGAGTAGCTGCGACTACAGGTGTACTCTACTGTGCCCAATGACAAAGATTATTTCTTTTTCTTTCCTTTTTTGGGGGAATGGGGGTGAGGTCTTGCAAGCACTATTGCTTATTTAGAGATGGTAACATTCTTGGAAAGTATGTAGACTTAGAAATCACTGCCATTCATCTGCCCATTCCACTGAAGTTCTGAAATCTCTTATTGTGTGAATAATTTCTGTCTCATTTTTATTATAAACTAATAATATCTAAACTAAAACAAAACTTCAACTATACATAGACCATAAATACATGTATGAAGAATGAGAAAGGAGATCATACATATTATGACTGAGTGGATTTATTGAAAACAGGGTCATGGAAGCTGTTTGACTAAAGCACACAGAAAAATAGTGAGGAGACAGAGATTGGGTGATTCAATTCTTATTTTTATGTTAAGATTTTTGGAAACTGTAGTCTTTCCTTTCGTATATAAGATAATTCTTCAGACTTGTGTGTTTAGTGCATTTGAATTTCCTTGTTTCCTGTTGACTTAAATTACGACCATGCAATTGCTTACAATGACATATATTCTACATGTTCAGGTTATTTATCAAATCTTTAGATGTAATCTTTTTCTGGCCATCTAAATGAGTAGTTCTTAGATTTGCTATTAATTTGAAGGCAGTATCTTAATTTTGTCAAGTAAAGCCATCAAAAGCAAAAAATCACTATCACTTATCATTTTGATATCAAAAAATAGAAAGAACATAATTTCCAAGTAAAAGATTCCTTCTTAAGAAAAGCTAATCATATTATTGATCACCGTGTACTAGACTTTTGTACCAAGCATTTAAAATACATAAATATCCCTGTTATATTGATTTGTAAGAGACGAATCTCTGAAGCATAGTACTGTCAAGTAACTTAACTAGAACAGAATAGCTGATTTCATAACCCCTACTCTTAACATAATCCAGTTACTTTTATAATACAGAACAATTAACCTAAAATGGTGACTTAAAATTGCACAGTTCTTGCTAAAAGTTTGTATGTTAGGTCTTGATTTGATAGTGCAACACAAATAGGAGCTTAAATAACCTTTACACTTATAGTTTTGATATTTATGAGACTCAAATGAGACAATGTGAAAACAGTTTGAAAAATAGAAACTAAAGGATGTTTTAGGTATTTGGAAGCCTGTCAGGGTTTTAGACCAGGATAATGACATGGCACACTATTCTAGTTAGGTTGATAGGATACTGGATCCTAGGGGTGGAGAACAGAGGCAGTAAGACGAGAGGAAGGAAGAGCAGAAGGGAGACAACATCAAAGGTGAGGTTGGTGACCTTATTTTGAAGGAAAAAATCAATATTTCTTGGTGATTGATGAGATAGAGGAGGAGATGGAATCCTTTGCCTCCCAGATTAATTCATCCAATAAATATCTGAGTGTTAAGGCTGGGTGCAGTAGCTCACGCCTATAATCCCAGCACTTTGGAAGGTCGACATGGGAGGAATGCTTGAGCCCAGGAGTTTGGGACCAGCCTGGGCAACATAATGAGAACTTGTATCTACAAAAAATAAAAATTAAAAAATTAGCCAGATGTGGTGATGCACACCTCTAGTTCTAGCTACTCAAGAGGCTGAGGTGGGAGGATCACTTGAGCCCAAGAAGTTGAGGCTGTGGTGATCTGTGAGTGTTTATTATTTCCCATAATCTGCCCTGGGCATTTGCTATATAAAGGCACACAGACTTGTGTAGACCTCTAGGAACTGATAGTCTTTTGGGTCTGGGTAGAATACTGCCTACATTCATGAACATAGATAATTTGGGAATAACTGCTCGTTTGGGTATTGTCAACCTGTTTAGCTATAAATAAGTTGAGTTCTTTGCCACAGATATAGGTACCAAATATTACCATATTTTTTATTTGATCCTCATGAAATTTGTTTATTTAGGATCATAGACATTTGATTGTAATGTTTCAGTAGTGTTTAGAAAAATGATATTTTCAGGAGTTTGGAAAGATTGTATTTTTTTCTGAATATGGAATTTAGTGTTGGCAAATATGGAATTTATTTTAAACCATTGTAATGAAAGTTTTGGCTTTTAAATAATTTGCATTCAGTCTTATGGTTCTATTTTTGAAAGAATAACATTTCTGAATCTTTCATGTATAAAGTTGAGTATCTGTTATGAGCTTGTCAGTTCTAGTTATTGTCAGTGTTAAAACAATAGGATTTAAAGAAAATTTAACTGTGTGCTGAGATAATAGTTTATTTCACAGTAGTGGCTCTCAAACATTGCACTTAAGCAGAATCTCCTGGAAGGTTTTTTAAAGCAGGTTGCTGGGTCCCACCCCAGGAGCTTCTGCTTCAATAGGTCTGAGGTAAAGTTGAAAATTTGCATTTTCGACAAGGTGATGCTCATGTTAAGAATTACTGTTATAATAAGGAATAAGATTATCATAGGAAACCACAAGTTAGCTTCTAAAACATAGATTAATATAGACTGTAATACCCAAGAAATAAACTTAATTTTCCTAAACATAAAATTCAAATCTAAATCTCATTAGTATGTGATAAATATAAAATTTATACCATAGTCTTATCTAAAATGTATTGTTCTAATTATATTTATTTATTTAGCAGTTGAGTAAGAAAATACATTAAAGTCTTTAAAAATGGTCTCTATATAAGAAAAACTTGATTAGAAGTATTTGAAATACTGTAATTAATTTGCATTATTTGTACTTTTACTTGAAGATAAAAATCAGACTTCAATTTAAAAACCCATATTGAAAAACCATTAACCCTCTTTCATTGAAAGGTGGTTGATTTTGTTTTCCACTTTGTCCTTTTCCCTTCCCCCATCTGCCCCATGGGTCTTTGAATTTTAAACCTGAAACTCTTAGTGGATCAAATCTGTCAATATGATTAATGTAGTTTACCCAAATTAGTTTCAGTAACTTAAAAAAAATCTTATATTTTTTAGCTAATGGGAATGACAACAAGAAATTTAAAGGAGATAGACCTCCCTGTTCGCCTTCCCGTGTTCTCCATCTTCGCAAAATTCCATGTGATGTCACCGAAGCAGAGATCATATCATTAGGTCTACCATTTGGCAAAGTAACTAATCTTTTGATGTTGAAAGGAAAAAGCCAGGTATGTAATATTTAAAGATTAACACAGAGTGATTATCTCTGGGTATTAGTGTTAAAGATGATTTTATTTTCTTGAACTTTTCTGTGTTTTCTAAATTTTATTCTATGAACATAAATTAGTTTTATAAGTAGATTTTTAAAATATATATAACAGAAAGAAACAAGCAGAAATAATGACACAGAAAGCAGAATTTCTGTTTCTTTTATCTATTGACTTGTATTGTCTTTTTCTCCCTTAACCAGAAACATATTTTATATTCCTCTATATTTTATTTTAATTATTTTTTATTTATATTTTATATTATAGGATAGATTATAAAATATCTTAGGATTATCAGAAGACCCTGGTAGAGAGGTTATAAGTTATAACTCATTTGGAAATTGAAGAACAGTTAAGTTTTCTAAAATCTAGATTAAAATGTATATATTGTCAAAAAAAAAATTACAACGCTTTTTGTTTTTTGAGTAGGAGTCTCACTCTGTCACCCAGACTGGAGTGCAGTGGCATGCTCACAGCCACTGCAGCCTCGACCTTCTGGGCTCAGGTGATCCTTCTGCCTTACCCTTCCAAGTATCTGGAACTACAGGCGTGTGCCACTACTTGCGGCTAATTTTTTGATTTATTGTAGAGGCGAGGTCTTGCCAAGTTTCCCAGGCTGATCTCAAACCCCTAGACTCAGGCAATCCTCTCACCTCTGCCTCCCAGAGTACTGGGATTACAGGCGTTAGCCACCATGCCCAGCTACAACAAATTTAAAGATCATTTAATTGACTTTTATTTGTGATCCCAGAATTGAGTAACACCTCATTCTATAAAATAGAATGAGTGTTCCACTGGGCATGACAGAATAGTTGATTTTTGTAAAGTGGGAGTAAGTAAATAGAGCAATTAAAAAGTAGGATAGGCTTGGTGGCTCAACCTGTAATTCCAGCGAAAGGATCGCTGGAGCCCAGCAGGTCAACACTGGGGTGTCCGTGAGCGTCAACTGCATTCTAGCCTAGGCGATGGAGTTAGAGTCCAACTCAACCCTCCCCCCTAAAAAAACCAAGAAAAGTAAATAGGTTATCATCATGTTACTACAGTTTCCTTTCCGTGCAAAGGGGACTTATTCTGATATAGGTGGACCTGGCTCTTTCGGAATCTCCTATTTTTAAAACTGTTTTGTTTGGGGATTTACCTGCTTCACTTAATGTGAGTGACTCCATTTTGGTTTGGACTGGTCTTCTGGGGCCTAGTACAGGAGGCTAGTCCAAAATAATGGCCTCCCCTAAACTTTAACAGTATATTTAGTTATAGAATTAATATGTAACTTCTTTAATAATTTGAAAGAGATTAAGAGAGTCTCTTAGAAATTATAGGTTTTTCTTAAGATGATTAAGCAAACTTGTTTCTGTTATGACCATGACAAAAAAATTGATGCTTGTGTTGATTTGAATAATTGGCTGCTCTCTGTTTCAACTCAGACTCTACTGGGATGAATTCTTTAGTTCTTCTCAAGTTTTTGTTTGTCCTAAAATTTTCTAATACTAAACATTACTGTGAAGAAGAAAACACCAAATCTAGGCCCTGGAAGTTTTGTAGTACATTGTGATATGTCACTATGATTTTTTTACTTTTGGTAAATAATGTTTAAGAAACATATTTTAAATATGTTTATAAATTCATAAGCATTGAGCATGAAAGAGATTGGATGATGATGTCTGATTCAGTCCCCTATCTTCAGTAAAGGACTTAACTAACAACCCTACTTAATTCAGATGAGGTTACTAAGATCTGAAGAAGTTAAATAGCATGGCTTGGTATTCAGCTCTTACTGTATTTCCACATATATTTTATATCCATTGATCATAGTGCATATTTGTCACTTAGACTTTTATCTTAATACAGTTGCTACTATTGAGAATAGTATGATTTGCCTGGTTTGAACAGAATCAACATGGCCATGTCTAATGGCTAATTGCCTGTAAGCAGCAGCGGGCAATGTTACAATTTTCTTTGTCTCTACTATTGATTCTAGTTTTATTTTGTCTGCTAGGCTAGCTGTAACTGTTGTGTTAGTTGCTTGCCTTTTGATCATAAATTCTGTTTAGAAATTATCTCTTTAGTAATTTACTTCAGCAATAGTTCCTAGACCCACTTGTAAGTGATGCCTTTTTCAGAGTATTTGGAGGGTGGCATATTGGGGACAGAGTGGGGGTTATTTTCATCAGCTTTTTTCTGGGTAATAACTTTTGGATGTCTCTCCACCCCACATTATGAAAATTGAACCTTTTGACTAGATACTTTGAAAAAACATAAGTCTCTTATAGTATACTATCAGAAAAATACTTCCTGTGACAAGAATCATGTATTCCAGAGTGACTTTTAGAAATTGAGTTTGTTCTTAACATTTAGGAAGGAGTTTGCAGAAATATGCTCTCTCCCCATATACGGTGAATTCTGTTCGAGTAGTATATATGACTTATGTGTTGAAATATGATTTAAAACCAATTAGTTAGAAACTGTTAACCATAGCTGTTTTTCTTACCTTGACCATTTTTATCCTGTTGTCTTAGAAAAATTAGAAAAAGTATATTGCGGATATAGTTACATAGCGACCTTGAAGTGCATCATGGACATTTATACCTTTTAGATAGTATAGACTAGCTAAAATATAGTATAGTCTATCTGAAATAGTCTTGAAGCCTATTGCCCCTTTGAGATAGCTTAATTGTATTTCGTTTTAGAATCCTATTTGTTTATTGTGGGTTGATATGTGATATTTTATCCATTGTCACAGGGCAAACATCAGTGTTTCACAGAATATTGTCTGTTCAATTGGAGTATTTAGTTGGCTCATTTGTCACTTTGGGATGATACAGTTATACATCATGTTTAACATTTGTCCAATTAATATTGCTTTACTAGAGTTCATATGGGGACATATGACAAGTAAGGTAGCTATAAACAAAGAAATAGTTTGATTTATAGATATTTGCCATTTCTTGTGTTCAGTAAATTTTGCTGTTAATGCATATTTCATAAATAAATTGTAAATGTTTTATGCATAAAGCCAACATGAAGTGGCTGATATATGCTTGTTAATTAAATACTCTTTTGTATGCGCTTGTCCTTAGTCCTAGCTAGTTGGGAGGCTGAGGTGTGAGAATCACTTGAGCCCAGTAGTTACAGGCTGTAGCGTACTATGTAGTGTACTATCAGGTGTTCACAGTAAGTTCAGCATGAGTATGGTGATCTCCTGGGAGTGGGGAGCTACCAGGCTGCCTAGGAGGGGCAAACCAGCCCAGGTGAGAAATAGAGCAAGTCAAAACATCTGTGCAAATCAGTAGTGGGATTGTGCCTGTGAATAACCACATAGTGAGACCTTATCTCAAATGAATGAATGAATAAAATTATCTCTTGTAGTTAAAGACACAAAACAAAAAAACTAGATCGTCTAACTAGAAATTTGTATTGGTTTGGATTGGAATGGTTCCTGAATTTTAAATTTGAGATGTTGTTACAGGTAGTTCTGAGGTCTCAGAATGATTGATATATGTCTATATTTTATTTTCCTAACCAAGCATTAAGATAGGGTGTCAAAACCTACCACTTTAAAGTTCTCTAAATATCCTATTTCTGTAAGAAGAAGTCATATATTTATAAGATATATCAAGGAGCTTCTTCCTTTTCCGCTTTTCCTGTGTAATTCTTCAGATAGTAATATTAGTATAGTGATTACAGGCTATCAGAAGTCACTTGAATAATTCAAATCAATATTCACTCAATGTAGAAAGTTCTCCCCATTTCCATAATTTGAATAATTGATCCTTTGTACGTGCACGCACTAGAGTCTCACTCCGCCACCCAGGCTGGAGTGCAGTGGCACACTCATGGTCACCCCAGCATCAACCTGCTAGGCTCAGGCGACCCTTCTGCCTCTGCCTTCCAAGTAGCCGGAACTACAGGCACATGCTACCATGCCCAGCTACTTTTTTTTTTTTAATTGTAGAGGCAAGGTCTTACCAAGTTGCCTGGGCTGGGTCTCGAACCCGCAGGCTCAGGCAATCCACTCACCTCAGCCTCCCAAAGTGTTGGGATTACGGACTGAGCCACTGGACTCAGCCTAGTTTTTGATTTATTGTAGAGATGAGGTCTCACCAAGTTGCCCAGGCTGTTCTCAAACCCGTGGACTCAGGCAGTCCCCTCTCCTCGGCCTCCCAAAGTGTTGGGATTAACAAGCTTGAGCTACCATGCCCGGCCTGTACCTTATTTTTAAAAATATTCTTTTTGTTTGTTTGTATTTTATTTTGTTTTGTTTTTAGTTGGAGTCTTACTCTGTCGTCCAGGCTGGAGTGTAGTGATACGCTCATAGCCATTGCAGCCTCAACCTGCTGAACTTAGGCGATCCTTCTGCCTCAGCCTTCCAAGTAGCTGGAACTACAGGCATGCGCTACCTCCCCTAGCTAATTTTTTTATTTATTGTAGATGAAGTCTCACTAAGCTGCCCGGGCTGGTCTCAAACGTGCAGGCTTAAGCAGTTCACTCACCTTGGCCTCCCAAAGTGCTGGGATTATAGGCTGAGCCACTGAGCCGGGTTTAAAAATATTTTTTATTTTGAGGATTAAAAGCTATTTTATTTTCTAATACAAATTAAGTATCTCTAATGTAAAAACTGATCTACCTCCAAATCCAGAACTTTTTGAGCACCAACTTGATGCTCAAAAGAAATGCTCACTGGAGCATTTTGGATTTCATATTTTCAAATTAGAGATGCCCAACTGGTAAAAGTGTCTAAGGCAAATATTCTAAAATCTAAAACACTTCTGTTCCCAAGCATTTTGGATAGGGTATACTCAACCTGTACCTCCAAGTTATATGTGAAATGTGATATATACGTGTACAACTGTATTTTAAAGAAAGCATCAACACTTAAAAAGTAATCTAAGCCCTAGGAACACTAATTAAAGCCATGTGAGTCTGTGAGTTAGAGATAGGTGGTGGTAGTGGGTAATGTAAGGGAATAACTGACAGAAAAATTTCCACAGTGTTTTGGAGGCAGAGGGATAGAGGGTATGGAAAGGGAGAGCTCTTGGTACCTTCAGTTAATGCTGTTTGTCAGTGCTGCACACATGAGAAAACACACGCATTTTAGATTGGAATGTCAAATGCCTCTTTAAGGAATGCTCAAAAACATAACTCTTATGTTGAGAAATCTTTGGCTCGGTGGCTCAGCCTGTAATCCCGCGCCTTTGGGAGGCTGAGGTGAGTAGATTGCCTGAGCCCGAAGGTTCGAGACCTGCCTGGGCAACTTGGCGAGACCTCATCTCTGCAATAAATCAAAATGAGCCGGGTGTAGTAGCGCACACCTGTAGTTCTAGCTACTTGGAAGGCTGAGGCGGAAGGATCACCAGAGCCCAGCAGGTCGAGGCTGCGG